TTAACTTTATTCTGAAAATATGAAGTAACATATTTATATCATTTTGGTGAGTGAGAAGATAGTGTAACTGGAGAACATGAATGCTAGAGATGTGCAGGTAGTTACCTGGCTGCCTGACTCAGCTCTCTTTAGAACCAATGGTTCCGTTACAGAGACACAGGAAGAGAAAGCAGCGGTGATGGGTGGACAGGAAGCATTGGTTAGCAGAGAAGTTTGTTTCACTGAGACATTTTCACATAGATCATCAAACTTTCTTCCCATTCACCCCTCTCCTGCCCTCCCTTCATCCCTTGGGGTTTCCTTTCCTCTCCCCATCCTTCCCCCTGCTTTTATGATGTATACAATATATAATGTGTATCCTCTTGCCCTCTTCCTCTCTTTGCCCCCTGTTCTTTAGATACCATCTTCCTGTCTCACATTTCCTTTCTATTTTGATGCCCTCTATATACATATGCATATATGTATGTTTTACATAAATACACACATACATTTTTTTTTTTTTTTTTGGTTTTTCGAGACAGGGTTTCTCTGTGTAGCTTTGAGCCTTTTCTGGGACTCACTTGGTAGTCTAGGCTGGCCTCGAACTCACAGAGATCCGCCTGGCTCTGCCTCCCAAGTGCTGGGATTAAAGGCGTGCGCCACCACCACCCAGCTACACACATACATTTAAATCAACACTTCCCATATGAGAAATATTTGTCTGAGTCTAGCATGATTATATCCAGATCCATATACTTTCTTGAAAATACCATAATTTCATTATTTATAACCAAATAAATTCTATTGTCCACATGTACCCCATTATCTTTTAATCTATTCATATATTGATGGACCTCTGGGCAGATCCTATATCCAGATAATGCAGTAATGAACGTGACTGTACCTGGTGCTGGCCTGTAGTCCTCTGGATACACAGCAGCAGTATTGTAAGAGTTCCAATGACAGCCCTGGTTGTAGTTTTTTCAGGAAACTCCACAGTCGTTTCCACACTGGCTGCACTAGTTTTGTTTCCCACCTGAGGTGTGTGAGGTCTCCTTTGTCTAAACATCTTATTGGCATTGTTGACACTTGTCATCTAGATGGCATCCATCTTGATTGAGATAAGATGCAATCAAAGCAATTTTCATTTGTATTTTCCTGAGGCCTAAGGATATTTTTGACTATTTATTACCTGAATTTATTTCTTCCTTTGAGAACTATTTATAAGTGTATTAGTTCATTTAATGATTGGCTAATTGCCTTATTGGTACTTGACATTTGGAATTCTTTATAGAGTATAGATAACACCTGTCTACAGGTGTTTGGCGCAGAATTCCTCCCATCTGTGGACTAGTCTTTTCAACTCTGCCTATGTGAAATATTTTTCAATTCTTCATAAAGAAAATTTGTGCACAGCACAGGAAAATATTATTAGAGGGAAAACATCCACAAAATGGGAGAAAATATTCTAGCTATCCACCAGACAGAAGGGCTAGATGCAGAATTTTAAAAAGATTTGCAGAAATTAGGTATCAAGGAACTACAACTGCCAACCAACGAGTAGACTAATGAATGGAAGAGACAGTTTTCAAAAGAAGAAACACATTTTTTTAGGTGTTTAATATACTTAGCCATCAAGGAAATGCAAGTTGAAATGATTTTAAGATACTACCTCACTGTGTCCAGAATGGTGTTCATCAAAAAATCTGACCAACACTAGAAAGATTGTTTAAAGAAAGGAACTGTTGGTGGGAGTGCGAATCAATGCAACCATTTTGGAAATCAATTTGGCGATTCCTCAAAAACTAAAAACAAAACTAGCAGGTGGCCCAGATCCAGCTGTTCTACTTGACGTACACCTGAGAACTCTGGGCCCTACCACAGAGATATCTGTGCCCCATGATGATTGCTGCTTTATCCACTATAGCAAGGAAATGGACCCAACCTAGTTGCCTATCAACCAGTGCACAGGTAATAAAAGTCAAGTTCATATATAAAATGGAATACTATTCAGCTCTAAAGAAGTGAAACACTAAATTATAGAAAAATGCATGAACTTAAAATGTACTAATTGATGCCAGGCAGCAGTGGTGCACGCCTTTAATCCCAGCACTCAAGAGGCAGAGGCAGGCAGATCTCTGTGAATTCGAGGCTAGCCTGGGCTACAGAGTGATTTCCAGGAAAGGAGCAAAGCTACACAGAGAAATCCTGTGTCAAAAAAAAAAGTACTAATTGATCTGAATTGAGGTCATATAATATCAGAAAGAAAAAGAACATTTTTTCTCTTATGCATATCTAGCCTATCACAAATATGTACATATGTAAACAAATGTCCAAGTGGTTAAATTATAACATGTAGAAAGAAGAAACATAAAAGAGTAATAGTAGGTGGTGAAGAAGGATTAAATCTAGGTGCACACATTAAATCATGGACAGGTATAGTGAGATACAGAGTTCTGGGATCAGGTCAGGCTTATTAACAGGTGAAATCAATAAGATACACTCACGACACAAAACAAGGTTGACGCCGCTGCTGATGCAGCTGTCATTGTCCTGCTGTTCTGCCCAAAGGAGACGAGAACCAAACTGCAAGAGAGAGAAAGAGAGAGAGAGAGAGAGAGAGAGAGAGAGAGAGAGAGAGAGAGAGAGAGCCATCCTTCTCCGAAGTTTCTTAAGGGGTCT